ATGTGTTCAAGAAAGGTTCGAAGTTCGAACTGAACTGAACTCGAACTGAACTTGTTGAACTCGAACCGAACTCGAACTGAACTGAACCAAATTTTGAAACCCTACTTTCAACCAATAGAAATATGGGATCTACCAATTAAGATTTCAATAACGTATACATAAGGATGCTTGCCTAAATCCTTTCAGAAAAATATCGTCATAATTTCGATGGGTTACACACTAATTATTAATTAGAATTTCGATATAATTTCAGTTACGACGAGTTTCAAAATTCGTCAGAATTTCAACGGATTATTACTAATAGTTTATTATAATTTTGACAAAATTTAGACAGTCACTAAGGGATTTCGGCAAGCAACCTTACGTATACAGCGCAATATACTATCTTCGCTCCCGATATCATACTGCGCATTTCAGGTGATCAGTATATTTAAGTATGATTTTTTTTACGTAATTCAGTCACGTGTAAGTTCCAATTTGGAACACAAATCATTTTTGCCAAGAAAAAAATTAATATATTTTTAATAGATTTATTGCACAAAAAGAAATCCTTGCTAATTATGAGAATAATGCATTGTGAATACAAAATTTTAAAGTAGATAAAGTAGATGTAAATTTGAGCTATTTCTCTTTTTAGAAATTAATTGCTTATTTATTTCGTTTGACTTTTGGCGGACTATTGTCTGGTATCTTTATCCATCTCTGCACAGAATGGGCTTTATCATCGTTTAAAACTTGTTCTCTACACATTTCTTCTTTTACACCTTGTCTCTCTGTAAGGAGTTTCTATAACAGACGATGGAATTAAATAAGTGAATCATAATGTGATATATTTAATACATCTAGAAATGAAGTACCTCCAAGAGCGCACCAAACTTTGCAATGTTGAATAATTCCCAACGTTCGGAGTAAGATATTGGAATTTTGCAACTGAATATTTCGTACATTCTATAAGTCTCGACACGGATGAGATCAGTAACATATATTGATAAGAAATATTCTAAAAGGAGTTAGATTAGTTAGTACCATCATTATGTAGATATAATAAAAATACTTACTGTATCCGTGAACCGATATCGATTTAAGTTTCTTTGCTGTAGTAACATCACAGTTACTATTTTTTGTAAAATGGAAATTTAAATCGTCAACTCCATTGCGTGATAGTTTAACAATGTCGTTTAAGTGATGTAGATCGGTAAACTCCGTTGGGCCAAAAGATTGCTCATATATTAATGTTGAAACTTCTTCTTGATACATAACACCATCGTTTTTACTTGCACATCCGGATTGTGACGGCTTTTGTGTGTAATTAATATTATACTTTCTATCGTTCTGTGCTTCGTTTATAATTTCACCGCTATAGACAGAAATAACGTAAAATTGTAAGAGATCATGAAAAAGAGGAAAAATTACATACAACATACTTACAACGAAACTCCGGATATTATTTTTCTGAAAAACATTGAAAATAGATCAAGCATACGGTAAACCGTTTGCGTCGACCATGTCTTTTCGTCACCTTCGATTTGTAGGCCACCGTAGTTAAAATATAGAAGGAAATGCCTACATACTTCTCTAGTCCAATTCGATAGATTATTTGGATTCCTTAGTGGTATTTCTATCTTGGACATTGCGTTTTCAATATTTCCACTAAACAATTCTTTTAAATATTCTTTCAGGTTGTTTGGGAGCTCAACTACAATATTTGTGTTACTTGATATTTCATCGAACAATCCTTCAGCATCCTCCTTAGACAATTCCCTGAACGGCTTACAAAGTGGATAAATATTTCTTTTCCTCATTTCGAGAAATTTTTGTTTTTCGATACTGATTTTTTCGTCATCAGCCTACATAATGGCACGTTCACGGGTTAGCTTAAACTAATGATCCAAGGAAGAAAAATGTGTACTTTTGTAGATTAAGAAGATGCGCTTGCCTTTTTTGTTCTTTTAGACTGTTCCTTTCAAAAAAGAAATATTGTACATCATAGACAATGTTCATGTTAAATGGTATTCCTACCTAAATTCAGATATGAAGAGAAACAGAAATCAAAGTTTGAGATTCATTACACACCTTAATTTCTATCTCTGTGATATTGTATCCTAATTCTGACTTTCGTTTCAATGAATTTGTTAACGTCCCTGCACTCTCAGTAGTCTATAAATGCAAGATAAACTTTAATACATAATTGATAAAAGCATATGGGCAAAAAGCTAATAATAATACCTCTTGTTTGTTTGAAAGATAGTACCGAATATCATTTTTGTCTGTAGCTTTTTTTGAATTAGTACTTTCCTCCAACTTCGCAGATCTGGCTTCAGATAATGACTCCTTGTTCACTTCTTCAGTTAGTTTTGATTGAAAATCCAAGACCTGGTCACTCGCATTTCGCAAGGTCACGATCTTATGTTTATCCTGTAAAGCAAATAAAGCAAATGAAATTAAAGGATTATAATGCCGTAACCACAAAAGGAAGGGTGCTCGGTAGATTTACCGTAAGTCGGGCAAGTTTTAACTGGTAATTTTTTTCCGATTTCTTCATTTTTCTATACAAGAAAAAACTTCAATTAATGCATTTAATACAATGCAACGAACGCATTAGATTTTTTTTTAATATGAAAATTCATGTATAGAACATACCGCGTTGACATTTTCGGAGCAAAAACCTACGAGGAGATAATTGAGACGTTAGTTAATATGAAAGTTTTAATAGTATTAATTTGTGGTTGCTTAACAGCACAAACTTGCTTGTTGCCACTATATAAGTTAGAATAATCAAGAGAATTGACACTCAGGATTTCATTCGACACAACAAGGTGTGGAAGAGTACCCCATAATTATACTCTAAGGCAACAAGTTGGAAGTAACACAGCCAACTGGAAGCAGAAAACGTGGCATCCGTACAATGTTAGGCATATTGCCATAATAGCAACTCCAGGATTTCATTCGACACGACATTAAGAGTGGAAGAGTACCCCATAAATTGTACACAAGTATTATACTTCTAAAAAATAAAAAGAAAAGGCTTACCTTCGATTTCGTGATGTATGTCAATCGAATAAGAAATATTACTGGCTATTTAAAATCATTTACGCGTGACTAATTGTTACTGCGCTGATGAGACAATTAGGATTTTCTCAAAATGCGTAATACTGTACATTCTTTTTTCGTGTAGATAGCGAAATACTGTTTGGAATGATGACGCAAAATTATGTTTGATTTTTGCTTTACTTGCACAAGGCGGATAAAAGATTCACTAACCGGGGAGAGGGTCACCTTTTTTTATAATCCGCAGTGGGTCTGAAAATTTCATTAATACAACAAATCACAAAAAACGAGAATATTAATTAGGGATTACGCGTCTTTGCTAAAGCTAACGGGGTAATAAAATTTTCCGTTTATTCCGTGGCAATCGAGTCGATCTGTTAACAATCCCTCAATTTCCATTTTCGTTCCATTCTAAGTTCTAACATCATGATATACTGTATAATGTTTTTATACTAACGACTGCGGACTTTTTTTTTCGTGCAATAAAAGTAAATCTTGCCTATCAACCGTACATCGATTTCAAATGACCGGTCTAAGCAACAATTGCGAACTTGAATTTATTACTTGAAGTGTTGCAGGTAAGACAATATTCCAACTTATCTTGAGATATCAACTTCACTAATTCAGGATCATAAGGGAACTGATTCCCATTTTCGCAGTACCATGAGCCATGTAATCCACAATTCCCATGTTTTCCATCACAAATAGGACATGGTGAGCTCCACGGCTGAAGTGAAGCAAAATTATAATTATCGATCCCTCTAAAACTATTTCGGAATTTCAAGTATGGGAAGTGCTCTAAGACTGACTGGATAATTGATTCTGGATCGGGTCTGGCTTCGAAGGTGATAGGCTTGAAATCAGAGGCTTGAGGTAGTCCCAGCCGAAGGCGCTCAGGGCAAGGGACCGGTTCTGCTGACATATCTATCACAGCTTCCGATAATTGCCATGGCTCATTTCCAGTTTGTTTTTTATATCTTTTGTATAATTTGGAACGAATCTTATCCGTCAAAACACTTGGTAACCCACTTAATTTGGCATGCCAGTCTAGATATTCGGGGGTTAGTATTTTATCAGACTCAGTCATTTTCCTTTTTATATGTCTGCAAACAATTTAAATCCCTTTTTCTCATATAGACCTATTCATTCGAAAAAAAAAGATTAAAATTCCCAGACTATTGTAAAGCAATGAGACTATACAACTATCTCAATTTCACGCTGTTCACATTTAATAAAGTAAGATCCTGCTTTATACCTACCTTCTATTTCTTCACCATCATGGCCTAATTTGCATAATGGGCAGATATAGTCCCCGCATGTTGTCTCATCAGTAATCCCATAATAGTCGAAATTTTCAATACTACATTCTCTATATAGATTAGGATATTGATCCAAAATCTTGTTGCGAAAATAGGAATGATCGGGCTTAGATTGAGGTGCAGATAATACATTTGCCGATGTATTAACCTCAGTTGATTTCAAAGCCGGTGGAGCATTTATAATTCTTTCTCTGGTTTCAGGATTTTTTGTTACATGATTTTGACCGGGGCCCCCGGCTGAAATCCTAACCATATTGGTTAGTACTTCTTCCACATCAGTGTTATCGTTATCATTATGCTCGGATAAATTATCCCGCCTTTCTGAGGCCTCTATGATATCTTGAACTTTATCATTAGTCAACTCAGAAATAGAGTTCGCACTATATGTAGTAATATACTTAATATTCTCTACGCCTACCTTTTCAAATATTTTATATATCTTTACAGCTTTCTGAGTTTTCCTTTGTAAGTTTTTACGGGAGATTTCTGGGAGACGTAATCCTGTATCTTCAGATCGTTGCTTTCGCAACATGGATAGGTGTTCCAACATTTTATCATAGATTATTCCCTTTGCCTTTTTTTCGCCTATTTTGCCTTTTCCATCTTGTACAATCACAGTAACCTGGGTTAAAAATTCCTTTCCATAATAATACCAGCGCAAAATCTCTTCCTGATTAGCACGAATTGCGCCATATTCGGCATCATCCGCTTTATTGAATAATTGTGCTAGAGAAAGCAATGAATCTGTAGATGAATTTTGGTTAAGGCTCTCAATTGAAATCACATCGCAAGGAATGGTTTTGTCGCTCGATTGGGCATCATCCTTAATACCGTCAGCTATCAATTGTACGATGTTTTCTGCACCTTTCTTCCTATGGCTATTTTGGCCGGGGGCCCCGGCTGAAATTTTAGTCACGGGATTCGATACCTCCGGTATCTTTTCAGAAGTGGAGCACCCGGTGTCAGATTCTTGATCTTGGTTAAGAGATGCTTGCTCTGCTTTGCTAAGTTTCTTTTCCTTATTGCGTTGCTTTATTTCACTACTAACGATTTTCTTATGAGCCTCAAGCAAGAAACTATCCATCTCTTTCTCCTCTAACGGTTTTTCATGATGGACCACACCCGAATTGGCCGAAGGCGCTAAAGCAAAGTTAGATGAGTTTTGGTTAGGGGTATTATCATTAAAGGTATTATCATTAGGGGTATTATCATTTAGTGTTTGCTTCTGTTCCACTTTCGTGAGTCTATCTCTAAACTCAGATTCCAACTCCTCAATTCTAGCCTTGAGTTTGGTATTCTCAGCAACACGCCTCGTTCTCTCTTCCTCAGTCGATCTTAGAGCCTCGGCAATCCTACGTTTAAGTTCAGCTCTCTCAGCATCAAAGTTAGCGAACTTCATTCTAAGATCAGAATTTTCCTTTTTAAGTTCAGAAATCTTAGCATTCTCCTCCTTAAGCACAGCAATCTCAGTCTCATAATCAGCTATGATCTTAACATTCTCAGCCTCAAGCTCGGTGATACGCTGTCTCAATAATTCAAGCTCAGATGACATGATCGATAATATTCTTATAGAAGATATGAAATATTCAAAAGTCCGTTAGTATATATACATGCTATTTGCGTGTCGGAGAACTCACTTCCCGTCAATGAAAATTGCCAAGAAATTTTTTTTATTATTACATGCGAAAAAATAAATACAAATGTTCGGGACGTAGCCCGTGATACATGACGTCTATGTAATATACATCCTATTTTTTCGAACGATATTCCTCTATTCTAGCCTTTTTCTTTGAGGGAGGATCGTCTTCCGCACATGCCCTATCCTTTAATAATCCTACCACTACGCCCAACACCTTTTTAACGCCATTACGTAACGTTTGATATTCCACGGACTCTTAACCAAAGCATCTTCGGAAAATTCAATGCTAAATGGTAACTTACTGCCTTGTGAAATTTTCCCCGGAGTATAGAGCAGGAAGTGCCAGTCCCGAGCTGTAGTAACAACGCCATATAGATAATCGAAATCATCGTCGTCTTCCCGCTTCCGTTTTCTCAAATTCGTTTGGCATGAGCTCTCTAGTTGTTTGATATTCTGAGCCAAACCCTCGATTAGATTTCGCTCTGGTTTGTCTTCAGTGACACAAATAAGATTCTCGGCTTTCTGAAACACAAGTATAGTATTAGTATATCTTCGAAAAAATGTCAGGAAACGGACAGGTCCTGGAAAAAAATTAACATAATACCTTGATTGCGAAGTCGACCCGTCCTGTGCTATCATCACCTATTACTTCGTATTCAGGCCTCATGCTGAGCTCTTCCCCTGTAGAATCTCTTGTAATATTGATTGCGGTATGAAGAATTGCCACGACGTACTCATTGCGCATAGCTTCCAAGCTATCCACAACCAAAGACCCGTAATTTTTTAACCTGACTAAAATTTCCACCATGCAATGCTCGAAGTGCTTGTCAGACTCTTGAATTTCGTGGGTTTGTAGAGTAAATAGTGGGATGGTGTCCGTACCATTTGAGTCAATGCCATACTATTATAGCAATCATGGCAAATAATCCCAAAACACATGCTCAATTATATGGACTGTTTTTATATAGGAAGAAGGATATAATAGCTATTCAGGAAAAACTCGGTATTGGTGGGAATGCAAATCAGTTGGCAGTGCCTCCAGATTCCGAGCTCATGGGGAAAACACTTGCTGATTCGTTCGAATTGTTGTTAGAATTGGTAGGGGATTTAATATCGATACAAGAGTATCTCAACATTAATGGTAATCCTGTTCTAGAAGTGGAATATCGAAGCAATGAAGCTTCTACAGATATTTCATTATGTATTTGGAAGATGATATAATAGCAATTCAAGAAGAGCTTGGTATTGTTGGTTATTCTAACCAAGAAAGGGCAGAAGAGGCCGATAAAAATGCAAGAGTATATCTCCAAAAGTTTGAGGAGTTTCACGGTCCCTTAGAAGATGTCCCAAGTGTGCTAATACAGAAATTCATCGATAGGGGAGTAAAAATGTTTTATTCTACCGGAGAAGGGCTTCCATTATTTCCGAAGGTCTCTCCTCAACAATTGCACGAAATATTCGTCAAAAATCCATCTAGCACCGGACAGTGCCCATGTCTAAAACAGGTAAGCTAATCTATATTTTTTTGTCGCACAGGAGTGGCCCAGCAAATTCTTCCGAGCTGGTGATCACTGCTCCGGTTGATGAGCAGTATTTCGGACACAAATTTGAATATATGCTAGTTAGAGGTAAACACAATCATGACAAGTAATACTAATATTAGTTCTGATCAAGTCGATGATGAGCTACATGAAGAGCTTTTATATGAAGTGCTTTTGTATAAGAAGAAAGATATAATAGCTATTCAGAAAAAGCTCGGTATGCTTCCAGACCGGAGGAAGGGACCTATTGAGAATATATATCAAACAGCATTAAATCAAAGCAAAAAAGGAAAAACACTTGATTTAGTGGGGGAATTAATAGATATACGGGGAGATCTCGGTGTGGCCGACCACCCCATTCTTACTACATTATATGGAAATATGCAAGAATTTGATGACGTAACATTTGGGAAAATGTCACTTGGGACATTATATCATTTGCTTTTATATTTGGAAGAGGATATAAGCACGATTCAAGATCATCTTGGTATTGACAGTCATTCTGATCAGGAAATAAGTGGATTAGAAGAAGCCAATAAAAATGCAAGAGCGTATCTTCAGCGAAGCATTTACGGGTAAACTTCTGACGGTTTCTTACCTTTAGCGGGTATTAACACGCCTGGACATTTGGACAGGAACGAATAATATTACAAATCGATAGTTCAAGAAACTCTGGCTCGGCCCACTTTAAACCACCAACTATTTAACTTTTTTTGGTCGTGCCTTCCTTCGTTGCTTATGAGGGATAGCCTCGTTTTCTCTTATCACAATTGTCTTGACCGAATCAGATTCTTCGGAAGACTCAGACGAATAGGAGAAACCTTTACCTTTTTTTACCAATCAATGAGGGTACTATTTCATGTATTATGTCGACCAGAGTTTCCCTATCTACACATTCATCCAGAACTTCTAATTCGGTCTCTAAGGACTTTACATCTCTCTCTAATCTTTTTACCCTCTTTTCTAAAGTGTTATGTTGGAAATGATAATCTTCCAATTGTTTCTTTAGTGCTCTATTTTCACTGGAAAGTGCACTATATACTTCTGCATTTTGCTCGTTTAGTCCAAATGCCTGGGCTAATATCTTCGTATATCTGATAACTTCCTGCTCTTTGGATGCATCAGATGAATGCTTTTGATCGGTTAATTCCATTCTGATCATTTTCGTGATATTTTATATATGCTAGATCTTAGGCGAACGAAAAAATAAAATTACGCATATTGGTGATAGATCTAGCAAAATTTAGTAGCTATACATATTAATAATATCAGATATTTCATCATTTTCCATAGACTCCGATTCCGGCTCTGAGTTGTGCTCATCTTCAGGGCTGGACTCCTCCGATCCTGTATCGCCTATAGCGTAATTATCGCCTGCATCAAGACGGTCTGATTCTTGTCTCATTGCAATTCTTGAAAGCAGTTTAAGATGCTGGGGAGTTGGGTTCTTACCACCATGTATTCTGGAAGCGTGTTTACTTCCATAATCTCTTAAATTTTTAGGTATCGTTCTATAAGGCTCTTGTTTTAAGAATTCATTAAATGGCCAAGCATTACGTGTTTCACTTTCGGTATAGACAGGATCACGCAACTTTCCTGCCTTAATTGCATCTCGAATCCAGGTGAGTAATTCCCTTGCGCGTTCTGGATTCTTCTCTATGGAGAGGAAGGGACGAGGAGGAGGATTTTTCTTCTTTTCTCCTTTACTCTTTAAATAGCCTGTGCAGTACCAAGAATAGCCTTCTTTATACCACGCTGGAATGTTCGAAGGGTCCGGTTCATAATAATTAATCTGAAGAGATCTTACTTCCGCAGGTCTCATACTCAACATCACAATCACATCTGCGAGATCCTCCCTAGTAGGGGTTTTAGAAACATCCATATTCTGGATTCTCTTTTGCACGTTTGCTAAGGAGAAATGTTTGGGAATTCTGTCCGGATTAGCCATTCGTTTCTTCTGAATTTTATTAGAATCTTGAATAAGTTCCTTATCTTTGGCAAATACTTCAATAATTGCGGTTTCTACACCACCTTCTGCTAACTTTGCACGGAATGTTGACTGACGCGAAGCACCGGCAACGATTTCATTTTCATCTTTATTTTTTGGACCCAATGCCCAATGATTAGCGATAATGTCTACAAAATCACCATCCTTAGCGCAGTATTTTGCCCTTTCCTCTATGGTGAGCTTCCCCTTTCTTTTATCTGGCAGGAGAACCTCTATTTTCTCTTTACTAAATGAGCGTCTATTATCAGTGCCTCTGGTAAGGGCAACTTTAACGCACCTGCGAGCCATCCAATCAGGAAGTAAAGCATCCAGTTCGGGAGCATGTTCGCTTAATTGTTCTAGGGTGGAGTCGGCCGCCAAATTATGCTTTTCTAGGAACTGCTCTAAGACCAATACAAAGTTATTAGCTTTAGGTTTTCGGGTCTTTGAGGTAGCCGTTTTGGTAGCCATGTCAATATTAACTGTTATCTAGTTATATTATCTGAGAAAAAATTCAATTCGAAAAAATCTCTCACAGTTATACTTTTTCGAAAAGGGAAAATAACAGAGATGGCTCTTGACTAGGAGCAAAAAAAATGATATAGCTTATGCTCTGCCATTAAGGCGCTTCGCAGACCGACATAACACATTTTTGAATATCTATAATAAAAAATGAAGATAAGTTTAACGTATATTAATCTTAAAAACTTTTCCAGAAAGAAGTACTATGCCCTTTGGTCCCTTTAGTGAATACATATCTGATTCGGAGGACTCTATAGATTCTAATTACCCATCTTGGCCTTGCCTATATAAGAAAAAAGATAGATCTATCTGCGGAGAAAGATACTTTCGCAAAGACGGGTGTGTCAAACACTATAGGTCTCCGCCAGAAAAAATGTGCGCATCCTGCTGTAATAGGCTGACCTTTTCTACAATACATGCCAAACCCATTTATAAGAAAAATTGGCTAGAGAGTCGCAAAAAGAGTGAGTAAGATTGGCCGAAGGCGCTAAAGCAAAGGAATTTTGAATATCTATAATAAAAGTAAAAGCGAAGTTTTAAGATTATTAATATCAAAATTACCTCGTATGGGTCGTTTTATCTGCCAATATATCAAGAGAGATGGTTCGATCTGTGGGAAAGGATGCATGAGTGAATTAGGATGCGCCAGACATTATAATGCCCTTCTTAGTACAATATGTCCTGTCTGTAAAAAGGGAACCTATTCCGATACTGGAATCTGTAGCAATCATAGCGGAATTTATGACCGTGCTTGGCGTGAAAGTAAAAAAACTAAAACAGAATCTAATATGGTTAAGACTTAGCTGAATAAATATCTGGGCTGAAATATTATTTGTCCTGCCCTATAGAATCAAAGAGTTCCTGAATATCGTTATCTGGTTTTGGCCTATATGGTGGAAGTTCTGGTGCGCCTTTATCTCCAAAACCAGTACTGTTATATGGCTGGCGATTAATTCGGTATGAGTATTGCCTAACTTGTTGTCCTTTAGGCCCTATTCTTTTTTTATCACTTTTAATAGTATAGCCACACCAATTACCAGCAATTGCATTGATTGCCTTTATAGCCGAATTAAGATCTGGTGTTGTCTTAGCATGAGACTTAAAGCCAAAGAGTGATAAAGACTAATTTCGAATTTCTATAAATCTTTCACAGGATTGCACGAATGCTTCTGATACAATATTACCAGGAAGGATACGTTTATCATCAATGCCGGTAAAGCCTAATATTTGAAAGAGTTCTCTTATAGCCTTCCAATGATTTGCTGAATAAGATTTACGCGAGTCTTCTGCCACTGATTTTTCCAGATTCTCTTTGGCTTTATGGCAGGCCATTTCCCATTGTACATTTTCCTCAGTTTTCAATCCCTTCATTGCATTCTCCTCATCATGACCTTGCCTTCGGAAATAAGACAATCGTAAGAAATGCTTCCGAGCTTCAGGCGAACTAAAATTTTCAACGAATTTTCTATTGCAAATATTATCCCAATCCTCAATACTCATGTCTTTGCAATAAAGATTCCGCATATAAAAACGTTTAAGTGCCATAGTATCTGCGATAGAGCGCTCTTGGTCGAATTTAAGGACTTCAGCTTCTTCAAGGCTAAGATTTCGAGAAGTAGCAACTGCATTAAAATCCGTTTCTTTAATAACTAATGTTTCAACTCTAACCTCATTACGGATTCTTTTACGATTCCCTATAACTCCTCGGCTTTCATCCATTTTTATTAGTTGGAGAGAAGCGCCGGTACTGGCTATAAGACTACAAAGCTTCTCAATAAAGAATCTCGCAGAAAGGCGTTTCTGATGCTCAACTTCAATAAATGTTATTACAGCCGGAGATTCATCAATTTTATAAGAAATGGTATTGTTATCCCATTCACGATGACCTTTTATTGCTGTAGGTAAGTTATTAGGCCGAGCACTTTCAAGTTCTGCCCTAATATTTTCACGACCTGGTGGGCGAAAAAGTTCGTTAGAATTTTTCTGATAGAATATAGAAACAATACGGCGAGGACAATCACGAATTCGATAAAGCATTTGTGCAAGAGCTTCGACATGAACTGGAGTGGCGATGTTTGTAATAGCTATAACTATATCGAAGTGACCTGTAACCTCGAATGATATTCCTGCCTCCACTGTATTTGTATAAGCTATACAGTCAAGCTCACTCCAAGCGACATTAATATCAGAAAAGTCTTTTTGACGTTGTTTTCCATCCATATCTCCATAATAAGCACGGGCTCTAACAGGCGAATTATCAGGTTTAGATAACTTAGATGCTTTTTCCACTAACGCTCTAGCCATCACCGCTCCGGTAGATACAAATGCCACACGTTTGCCCTGCTTCAAAAGGTCATATCCTATTCGCATGGCTTCTGCTCCACTATTTGAATCATAAATAAATTCAACCGTCTCACCTATATGAGGCTGGTATCTATTATCAATTATACGAATATCTTCACCACGATATATCTTAAGGAATGCTAATGTTGATTTATTTGCAAAGGCATCCATAGCCAAAACATGTCTCGCAGATATTAAGATATCACGCATTGCATTCTCAGACTCTCGTGCATTTGTACCGCTAGACATTTGGCGCATGATAGCATTGGCTTCGTCGAGAATGGCCACAAACGGACGAGCTGTGAATTCGATACGAAAAAGACTTTCAACTTGTACTATAATAATACCCCACTCATTTATAGATAAGTCTCCTAACTTATTTTGGTAGTTGCAAATTCGGAAGCCGGACGCTTCTAACTCATCAAGTTTTGCTTTTGATTCATTACTAAGAGATTTTCGGTAAGAGATCCAGACATAACATGGCATAGAAGAGATATCATGCACCTTACTCTTCAGTGCCATAATGATTTCTCTTAATGTAGTGGTTTTCCATGTTGCCGGAGATGAACGAATTAGTGTGGTAGTTTTTTCAGAACTCAAGAAATCAGGATATGATTCAGGAGCGTCTTTTAGCCTTTTAACATTAATAACTTTCCCTGGCAACTCTACAAGAGAGCGTGGTTTTGCTACGGCATTGGCCACTCTATCAACAATTTTTTGTATAGATCTATCTTTCGGCTTGATTATACCCCGCAGGGTTGATGCTTCCCCAAATGTCAATCCTTTATGATCTGGTTTATATTGCTTTTGCCGATAACATCTGAGTATAAAGCGCCCGTCACTTCGAAGAAAACCATATAACTGATCTTTTTCGTGTCTGATATCGCAAATAGGACATACTTCATATGACTTCGCTTGGAAGTTGATAAATCCCTTCTTAATGCTACCAACCTCAAGCCATTTATATTTTGCTGTAACGAAACCAGCTCCTTTGCTCAAAGCAGTTTCGTCTTCGATAGGTTGGAATTCATCCTTTTCCGGCTTTTCAGGAGAAAAGGTCCGTGGCCAGATTTCAGAAGCATCCCATTTAGGTTGAACTAAATAATTTTCTAGCTTGCGATATCCTTGTTCAACTGAAGAAATTGCAGGTCTTTTAACTCTATCTTCCTTTGCCGATCCAAGGAGCCGAAGACTAAAACGTGATTTGTAAAGTCCTATGTCAATAAATTCTGAGTATGGTTTTCCAACCCTATTGGCAACTTTTTCTACAAAACCTTTAAGGTCTCTGTAATCAATAAAACGAGTATGAGGATATACGATATGCCAACTGCATTTATCGGCATTAGACGAACTGGTTAAAGTAAAAGCATTTAAAGGTACAAGATGTTTTAAATTAGAGTATATAATATCGGCACAGGCGATTAAGATTCTGGATAATAAATCTTCGCGAGTAATTTTATATTTATCTAAGAAAGGGAGTTTAGGATTCATGGAATCGGGATTTTGCCTCGCATCAATATCCAGAACCAGACGAAGAGGTAAATTCCCATCAATGCACTCATGGGTATCGGGTAATCCATAAACTTCGGATGGATGATCAATTACTGTAAAACCCTTTCCTGACACTCGGACTATATATTTTGAATAAATCTCTTCAGGATGATAGGCTCCTAGAAGAGAAATATCATTTTTATTATTGGACAAATATTGAAAATACACATGATCATTGTAACCAGGCTCAAAATCGAGGTCCGCTAAACCAGAGAAGAGCCTGGTTGCATCATTTATTGTTTTAGGGCTCGGCCCGGGCTTTTTTTGCGCAAGCATAACAGTATATTCAAGAAACTAGTATAAAATAACAGAGAAACTAGCAAAGTTCAAAATAAAAATTTTATATAATTTTGAGCGAATATGCTTGCTAGTAAAATACTGGGTTAGTGATAGTATCCAGCACCAAGCCAAAAGAAAGTAAACGATGTGGTAGTACCCCAAAGTAATCGATGTGGTAGTACCCCAAAGTAATTGATGTGATAGTATCTCAAAGTGATCGATGTGGTAGTACCCCAAAGTAATCGATGTGGTAGTACTCCAAAGTGGTCGATGTGGTAGTATCCTAAAGTATCCCAGAGTAATAACTATACGAGAAAGGGTTCTAGAAAGATAGGAGCGAAAAATAAGATATAAAATTGGTAGTACCCCAAGTTAGAGAATAATATATAGTGTCATGATATGACATTTAACGAATAATCTTATTGGATAAGATTTATATTCATTATTATTGGATTATAATTAT